AGGAAAGACAAGCTCTGAGTGTGGAGGGTGGGGTTTTTTCCTGAGACTCGAGGGGGTGAATTTTGTGGGAAAGGATATTCCCAAGACTCAAGCAAAAAACTGGACTTTCCATATCTTGGACTACATCTCCCATGATGCACTTCCATTCTTGTGGCTCCCATGCTGCACTGCACGATGAGATAGTGTTGCCTCATGGGAGATGTAGTCCACCCTGGGATCCCAGCGGCTAAGAAAGGGGGTAACAGAGCCCCGAACTAGTCCTGCTCCTATGAGGTGGGGGAAAATACAGTTGTGCATTCATCTGATTCCACACAGAAGGGTTTGGGTGGTTCCAGCACCAGGACTGAACCTTTCCCCAGGACAGTGCTGGTTTTGTAGGAGACTGTGATTTCTGTGGAAAACGCGTCCAAAAGCAAACGTCCCAGCTTCTTCACCCATTTTAAACGTGTCTCTTGTCAAATATGGGGGCAGAAACAACCCCATGTGACATCAACATCCAATCACAAGCCACAAGGGACAGGGGGACAATCATGAACAACCGTAGGCCAAAAATGATTGGGCCAGAAACCAGGATCGGGATTTGGGACCGAGCGGTGAGCAAAGAGGCGGCTAACTCGGCAAGGAACGTCACTCCCCGGGAAAGAGCTGGCAGCAGGGAGCCACAATTTCATCCCACGGGTGCTCAGCTCTCCCCTTGCAGACGGGAGCAACGTGCCCGGGGCGGTGGGTGTGCGAGGCAGGGAAAGGCTTTGGATTCCCAAACCGCCAGCCTGGCCTCACCCACACACCGGCCCCAGAACACCTGCTGCAGGCATTCTGGGGCCGGTGTGTTACTGCCCCACAGTGCCCACCCTTCCCTCGCTCCAGGCCTGGGAGCCTGGGGGCGCATGCCCTCTTCCCTCCTCCTGGTGCTGGGGGGAGGAGCTTGGTGCTTGTGGGGGTGGGGCCTAGGCAGAAGGGGTGGGGCTGGGGTGAAAGCATAACTGGCTCTCGCACTGTAGCAGGCTCCTGCCTTCTTTGGAAACCAGAGGAAGGATTCCGGGTGCCATCGGGCCAGTTGTGCGCTGCTAATTCTGCAGCCCGGTTGCGTGCGCATCCTCCAGAGTGTGGGGGTGCCGCAGGAGGCACAGAGCAAAGGCCCCCGCGATTCATGACTGCGACGGGATCCCCGGACCCGCTTCGTTGGGGTCTTCCTGCTTTGCCGGGCCGAGCCCCCCCGGCCGGATGATGGCCTTTGCACTGCACGCTGATTTTTTGCCCCCTTCCTCCAGAGTGGGAGTCGCCTTCGCCTCAAAGCCGGCAGCGAACGTCTGGAACGCAGGAGGCACAGAGCAAAGGCCCCCGCGATTCATGACTGCGACGGGATCCCCGGACCCGCTTCGTTGGGGTCTTCCTGCTTTGCCGGGCCGAGCCCCCCCGGCCGGATGATGGCCTTTGCACTGCACGCTGATTTTTTGCCCCCTTCCTCCAGAGTGGGAGTCGCCTTCGCCTCAAAGCCGGCAGCGAACGTCTGGAAGCCCGGGAGAGGGCCCCCCCCTCTGTGCAAGAGGCCAGAACGATTGGAACGTGTAGGTGCCCAGGGCGCTGGACAAGAGATGCTTCGTGGCAAAGCAAGGGCATTGGCCCAGCCCCCGGTGGGCCATCATTTTTGTAGGGGAGCCACGCCACAGATTTTGGTCCATGGTCACCGGCTGGTGCTGGGCCCCCTGGCAGGGGTGGGGTCACAGACACTGTGAGTGACAGACTTTGTGCCACAGCAGCTGAGTGCGTGGGGCACAGAACAGGCGGGGGGGGGGGGGCGGGCACAGTGAGTGTGTGCTGGGGAAGTGGCTGAGAGAAGCCATGCTCTGTCTCTTTAAGGGAAATCTGCCCTGCCCTGTTGTCTCTGCCCCCACCTGCACCTCTTACGGGTCACGTGCTTCAGAAGGGAGCAGCTCCACTGTGCATCTCCGTCTACACCCCCTGCTCTGCAGAGATGGGTACGGGGTGGGGGGACACCTGGACTTCAGCACCCCCCCCCCACAGCGAACAGGAGATTCCTGGGCACAGCTCACCTGTGGGGCAAAGCAAGGGAGCGGGAGGGGCAGCTGAACAGGCGCCTGGCTGCCAGTCTGCACCCCTGCTAAGTAGCTGGCAGGCCGGAGGGAAAGGCTGGGCAGATCGGATCCGGCCCCGGGCCTGAGTTTGCCCACCCCAGGTCCAGCCTGACTCCTTGCAGTCCGCGCAGAGGAAGGGGCAGGGCAGAGTTGTGTAAGCCAGCAGGCAGATCGACCCTGTGCCCTTAGGGGCTGAAGTCACGAGCTGCCACACCGGGCTCTTAGCTCCACTCTCCGTTCTCAGGGTCACATGTACGTTGCCTCAAAAGCAGAGCAAAGCCACCGTGGAGTCCAGGGGCACTTCAAAGACTCACAAATGCATTTGGCCCCCAGGTCTCCCCTCCACCTCGGCTCACCAGCCTTGGCTGACAAGTCGGGGCGAGGGGCATCAGGGCCCTTGCTGACTGCATGCCCCTCTGGGCGGGACAGGGAGGAGCAGCAGGCTGGGGGGGGGGAGATTTCCTTCCCACATTTGACTCAGAATAGTGGTAGGCAGGGCAGCTGGCCTGGCTCACAATGTGGTGCGCAAGGAACCAGAACGTCTCTGCTATCGTCCCGTCATTTTGTTTTCTGCGTGTAGCTTTACAGCACCCGGCGGGGGGGAGGGGGTGAGAGCAGGAGGGCTGCCTTGATTTTATGGCCTGGCATTGACGCCAGCTGGATCCTGCTAATGGCCACTGCACATTTCATCTCGGTGAAAAGACCTCACTGCCATCAGCGGCAAAATTCTCCTTGACGTCAGTCAGGCCGGGATCTCCTCCCCAAGCCTTGTGCCTTGTAAGCACCCGTAGGCGTTGTCTACACTGGCACGTTGTGGCCTTTTGGTGACAAAACGGCATGAGCGTTTCCGCTGCCGTGCAACTTTTGTTGGGACGGACACCCAGTTTTGGCAACAAAAAACCTCCAGCCCTGCCAGAGACTTGGGTCTTTTCCCCTCCCTTTATTGTCACCGAAGAGCCAGGGCGGACTCTGCTGTTTTGTCAAGAGAACTGGCTTTCGCCTGGACCCCACAGGCCTGCCCTGCTGGGTCTGCTCAGTGTTGTGTGGTCTCTGCTGCCCTGCAGGCTGTGCCCCTCCCTTTGCACAGCTCTGGGAAGTGTCTGGTAGCTGAGTGAGCATGGGAAGCTCCCAGGGCAATGAGGGAATCCCAAGAAGCTCAGGGATCAGCTCTGCTTTCCCGCCACACTGCGCTGTGGGATGCTTCCCCACAATGCTTTGCTCTTTCTGTCAGCAGGGTGCTAGCCACGTGGCCAGGAAATGACAATGGGAGGCAGAAAAAACACTCTGACTGGTTTTCACTTTTGGTGACTTTTGCACGTCGACAGCCCTTTTGTCACCAAACTTGCCCAGTGTCGACACCACCTTAGTCGTGCAGCAAACGACAATGGGCAAAGTCTTCACCACTTCAACCCATGCACACCCAGCGGGAGTCCGGGGCTTTGGGAACTCCCTTTGGGTGCCTCTCTGACTGTTCAACTCTCCTTTGAAATCTGGTTGTTCCGAACAAGTCCCGTTTCCAAAAGCGATTGAGGCACGTGTGAGACGTCACAACTGTGCTGGGTTTCCCCAGCAGCCTCAGGACTCATGTCTCCGGACCCTTGTTCTCATGGTTTCTCTCCTGGAAGCTGGGCTCCCCGTTGGCTGAGGCCATGCACACAGCGGGACGGCCTATCTCTGTCTGTCTCTGTAAGGTGCTCCCTCTGGAACACCCTGCTCAACTCGCAGCCTCAACAGGAGAACCCTAGTGGCTTGGAGGGATGTTGGAAAGAGAAAAAATGGGGAGCGGGTGGGAGGGGGCAAATGATGTCTAGGGGAGTGACTGTTCCCCTTTATTCGGGTCTGGGGAGGCCACATCTGGAGTTTTGCATCCAGTTCTGGGCCCCCCTCTACACAAAGGATGTGGACGCATTGGAGAGGGTCCAGCGGAGGCAACCAGAATGATTAGGGGGCTGGAGCATATGACCTAGGAGGGGAGACTAGGGATTTGGGCTTGTTCAGTCTTCAGAAGAGAAGAGCGAGGGGGGATTTGAGAGCAGCCTGCAACTCCCTGAAGGGAGGTCCACAGAGGATGGAGAGAGGCTGTTCTCAGTGGGGGTAGGTGGCAGAACAAGGAGCAATGGGCTCAGGTCACAGTGGGGGAGGTTTAGGTTGGATAGTAGGGAAAACTATTTCCCTGGGAGGGTGGGGAAGCGCTGGGCTGGGTTCCCTACGGAGGGGGTGGAATCTCCATCCCTAGAGGTGTCTAAGACCTGGCCTGACCAAGCCCTGGCCGGGATGATTGAGTCGGGATTGGTCCTGCTTTGGGCAGGGGACTGGACTCAATGACTCCTGAGGGCTCTGCCTGCCCTGGGGTTCTAGGATCATGTGTTGTGACCTTCTGTCTAACAAGGGCCCATCTCCAAACTGCTCTGACGTCGTCTCTAGCTCAGCAGCACCTGAAGCAGAGGGTGGTGGCAGGAGAGATGCTGGGAGCTGAGGGGGCAGGATGGAGGAGTGCACAGCCCCCCCGGGGCATGACAGACTGCTGGCGGAAGCGTGAGGCTCCCCTTGGTTTTTACAAGTGTCTGGGTTCCTGGTCTGATCAGGCACATTCACCGGCTGTCTGGATGGGCTGTGGAGACGTGGCCAGTGGTTTCCATGTACATACCGAGCGCCTGTCTGGGTCTGGAGGAGGTGGGTGGGAAGAGCAGCTGGTTCCATTTGAAAATAAATCTGGTCTGTAGCCAGCGGAGCGCTCGGGTTTTTTTTTTCATAAATCAAGTCACCGCCGTAAAGTCACCGGCACGCGCGTGTGCCTTGCTCAGGGCTGAGCCTACAGACACTTCCCGAGGGGCAGGGCTTGCTGCCCAAAGTCCCCCTGAGGTGGTGTTGGGAGGGCTGGGCCCTGACATTGCGACGGGGCCAAGAGCTAAGAACCAAAGCCACGGTGTGATTGTTCTTTGTTACAATCGTCTCTAAACATTGGAACATCTGAGCGGCCAGGCTGGGCCAGACCCAAGGTCCATCCAGCCCGGTGTCCTGTCTGCCCACAGTGGCCAATGCCACATGCCCCAGAGGGAGGGAACAGAACAGGGAACCATCAAATGATCCTGCCCCGTTGCCCATTCCCAGCCCGATACACAGAGGCGAGGAACACCATCCCTACCCCTCCTGGCTAATAGCCATTGAGGGACCTAACCTCCATGCATGTAGCTAGCTCTTTTTAGAACCTTTTTAAAATTTTGGCCTTCACAACATCCTCTGGCAAGGAGTTCCACAGGTTGACTGTGCGCTGCATGAAGAAAAACTTCCTTTTATTTGTTTTTAACCTGCTGCCTATTAATTTCATTTGGTGACCCCCTAGGAGTAAATAGCACTTCCCTATCTACTTCCTCTACATCCTTCATGATTTTACAGACCTCTGTCATATCCTCCTTCAAGTCTCCTCTCTTCTAAGCTGAAAAGTCCCTGTCTTTTGAATCTCTTTTCACATGGCACCTGTTCCAAACCCCTCATCATTTTTGTTGCCCGTTTCCATCCTTTTTCCAGTGCCAAGAGATCTTTTTGGAGAGGAGGCGAGTGCATCTGTACACAGTATTGTGTAGGAGCCCTAGCCACGGACCTTGCCCCCCCGGCGCTCGGCACGGTACAAACACAGAGCGTCTCTGGTCTGATTTCCTCACTCCTGGCCCCACGCCTGCGGAGCTCGGCATGCTGGGAAGCAGAAACGCCTTGTGCATGGTTGTGACCAAGACCCGGGGTGCTGGGAGGGGGATCGTGAGGTTTGGCTCGGGCCAGTGAGGTAGCGTGTCACGTACGATGAGGCACATGGGTCGGGGGCTGATCGTTTTGGAGTGTTACGCTAGCCCGCTGGGGCACCGAGGGTGGGTTTCTTGCGTGTCGCCGTGCCCAGGCTCGCCTGAGGCTGCGTGACTCATACCTGTGATGGGCTCGCGCTGGCAATCACCCAGGCTTTTCCTCAGAGGCACAGGGACCATGCCCACACTGCCAGGAAGGACCCATGGCGGCCGCTGATTGGGCCTTGCCGAGCTCGGCCTACAGGGCTGTTGCTTTGCTCCAGGCTGGTCCCGCACGGCCTGCTCCACCGTGACACACCGCTCCCTTTGCAAGAGCCAGGCCATACTTGCTTTACCCTGCCATGTCCTGAGGGCTGCTCCGTCCACCTTCCCATCTTTGCGGGCTTCCTGCTGCTCCCGAGCCACCTGCCTGACATGCTCTT